AAAGTCCATTCAATATCAAACAAATTACAAGTGTTCAGCTTAGCCCTGGCCAGTGTGCCTCAGTGGATAGAGCATCAGCCTGCACACCAAAAGGTCATGAGGTTTGATTCTCGGTCAAGGGAACGAATCTGGGTTGCAAATTTGATCCCAGGTGCCAGTAGGAGCACGTGTAGGAGACAATCAATCAATGTGCCTCTCTCACATCGATGTTTCTCGCTTCCCCTCCCTCCCTTTCTTCTACTCTTCCTAAAAACTAATGGACAAAATATCTTCAGGTTAGAATTAACAACAACCAAAAAAATGTGTTCAGCTTAATTTTGAAATATTTTTCAATGGCCCCCAAAGGTGATATTATGATACTTGGTTTGAGAAAATATTGACTCATCTCTGCTCTGAAATACACTGGAACTCTGGCAATCACAGAGAACCCAGCTAATGATTAAAATTTGTGTATCATTAGAAAGGAGGTAATACTTGAATCTGTCCCCAGTCCACTCTGGAATGGAACAGAGTCACCAAACAAGGAGATACATCCTCAGAAAGAAATGAAGAAAAAGGACTCATATTAAAATTAAAGTTTGAGCAAGATTGTGTTAGGCTTGGAAATATACAACTGTGGTTACTATAAAGTGAGAAATGGATACCAGACCTGCCTCATATCAAAACCTATTTAAGATAAAATATCCAACAAACATTGTCTCTTCTAACCCTTTTGAATAAAATATAATTTATATATTAAAAACATAAAGTTTAATAACCATCAGATTCAAAACCCATGCAACTAAAACCCATGTCAAGAAATAGAAAATTTCCAGGGTCACCAAGATCTTTCCTCCTTTAAATTTCCAGTTATCATCTTATTTCTCTTTCCATACATACCACCATCTTTACCTTTCATATGATCTTCACGTCTAATGTGAACTATAGTTTAGTTTTGCCTGATTTTGAAGTTTGTATAATAAGAACAATGTAATATAAACTCTTTTGTGTCTATCTTATCTTCCTTGTGTTCTTGTAAAGGACATCCAAGGACTCATCTTCATCTTCTTGACAAAAACTAGGCTTGATGTAAATTACTGTGGCTGATGAATAAGACAAATGATGGATGTTAATCAGTTGGGGCCCAATTTGGATATTGGAATGGGACCAACTTTACTGAAAACAAAATGAAGAGTAATGACTATATAAAGGAAATTTTTAGGCATGAAACTTCTAGGAGGATGAACCTTGGGAAATTGTTGACTTCTTTCAGTAATATTTTATTTGCTTTTGTATGTTTCCTTTTGTTTTTTAAGATAGGTCTTTATGAGTGAGTCTACCACTAAGTCCAACAAATATCAGTTTCAAAGAACAAACACTTTATATCACATATTTTCTGAGGGTTGGGAATCCTTGAACAACTCAGGATGGATGTGACTCAAGTTTTCTCATTAGGTGAATGTCAAGATAGTTGGGGCTCTGTTATCTGAAGGCTTGAGTAGAGCTGGAAAATTGGCTTGCAAGACATACTCATTACATAGCTGCTAGAAATAAACTATATTTCTTTTTAAATTGAATTTATTGGGGTTACCTTGGTTAACAAAACCATATAAGTTTCAAGTGTACAGTTCAACAAAGAGGTTTTAGCTCCTTGTCACATGGTCTTTTCAACAGGGCTGCTCCTGATATGATGGCTGGCATTCCCATATCAAGTGACCTGAAAGAGAAAAAGAAGGAAGAAGCTGCCGGGGTCCAACCCCAGCGGGTCCAGGGGTCCCCAAAGGTGTGGACGGAGTCAGCGAAGAAGGAAGGACACGGAGACAGTCTTCAGTTGATCAGCAGCCTAGCCAGGATCTCCAGCCAAGTTCTGGTCTGGATCTCCAGAGAAGTTCTGGTTAGGATCTCCAGCCAGGTTCTGTAGTCATGTTCCCTCGCTAGGTTCTCCAGCCAGGTTCTGTCCAGGTTCTCCAGCCAGGTTCAGTTACCAGGTTCTAGTCAGGTTCTCTTGCCAATTTCTGTAGTCAGGTTCAGTCCAGGATCTTTTGCCATGTTCTGTCTCTAGGTTCTGTCTCTAGGTTCTGAGGCCAGTTTCTGTCCAGGAACTTTTGCCATGTTCTCTCCAGCGAAGTTCTTCTGTCTCTAGAGAACGTTCTGTGTAGGTTCTGTGCCTAGGTTCTGTCTCTCCTCGTTCTGTCTTCTTACATCTGTATTTATACCAGTTGATTCCAATCCTATCAATCTCTATTTCAAAGGTTAGGGCGTTTCTTATCTCCATTCCAGGAAGTAAAGATTATGTAGCTTAAGCATGATTGTTCGTAGTTAGAGTGATTAATTACCCGCCTGGCACTTAGTTAAGAGGTTTTATTCCCTCCCTAACTTCAGGGAAAAATCCCTACCTGGGGAAACAACCTTTCTCAGAGACCTTGGTTAAAACACATAGTGCCAAGAAGGTGAGCAAACATATTAAGAACAGTATGCCATATATGCCAGGTCCCTTGAAACAGCAAGCATGGACCAGCTCCCGGCAAGAAGCCACACCACCTTTTATGAACGAGACACAGAAGCGGCATACTATCATTTCTACTATCTTTCACTGGTCACACATATCAACTGTGAGACTATGTAGAAGGAATTTATACAAAGTTACGTGAATTTGAAAGTGGGAATCAATGGTGAACATCTAGCATTTGGCTATAATGCACACTTTATGGATTTTCACCTTTATAATAAACAAAGACTGATAATATAAGACACACCTCTTTGAGACCTGTAAAGCTTATAAATACATTTACAATTGTTACTATGTGACCTAAGAAAGGACAAGGCAATGTAGAGAGTAGGGTTGGTGCCTATATAATCTCATTTCACGTACCTTGACATGAATTGGAAAACTATGGCCTGTGGAGCAAATTTGTCCCACCATTTATTTTTCTAAATAAAATTCCCTGTAACACAGCTAAACCATTCATTTACATACTATCTATGTTTTCTTTTTGCACTGCAATGGCAGAGTTTCAACAGAGACTGGCCCACAAAGCTAAAAACATTTATGATTCATTTTTTATAAAATCCTTTGAGGATATAAAGAGAAAAAATTCAAAAACTTCCTCCTCACAGCTTTCAGAATGGCAATGGAGAGCAGTGGCCTCTGGGAGCTGAGGGCCTCAGTCTCACAATCACAAGGAACTAAATTATGCCAACAGCCTGAATGAGCTTGGAATAGAATGCTGAGTTTCAAATGAGAAGGCAGGGTGGTGAAAACCTTGGTTCTAATCTAGGCTTCTGAAACCACAGATAAGGAAACAACTAAGCCATGCCCAATTCCTGATCCAAAGATAATACCAGGTAATAAACATGTACTGTTTCAAGTTCCTAAACTTCTCATAAGTTGTCATGAACTAACACATAGCATGTAGTATATACTCTCAGGGTTACATATTTAGGGTTCCAGGATAAAATTAAGGAAGTCTACACGGACTTTTGCCATATTATTTTGTGTGTTTCTTAGACATTTCCTCACCCTTTCCCCTTTGTTTTACTTCTAACACTGAGATAGTCACTCAACTAAATCTTTCCATGTGCATAATCCCATTAAAAAAAAATAGAGAACAAAAGAAAAAAATAAAGTGTCTGTCCCCAGAGACTATATTAGACATCTCATGTCAGAGGGAAAAAAAAATACTTAGTAGAAAGACCTTTATGTAAAAGAAGTCTCTCCCATCCCAAAGATTATAAAGATGCTTTCAGGATGAAGGAAAGCAGAATGCAGGGAAGAGTGGAAGGAATAATATTAAACATGAAATGGATCACATGGTGAAGGCCTGAGTATGACTAATATAAGGGGACCATGCTGTGAGAGAGACACACGCCATGGGTGACAAGAATCCTCCATTCAATCCAGGACTTTCCATTGGAATACTCAGAAATTATATGGAAGCTGAAAAACCTCAGAGCTATAATTGGGAGGCAACAGTAATTTTCTTCTCCCAGTAGAGACAAATTTTGACATAGATTAATCTCTGCAATTAGACATCATCTATCATATTTATCATCTTGTGCTTCCTCACTGCTCCTGCAACTGTGATGAAAGTTCCCAAGCTCTCAGAAAAAAAGGCAGATTGGGCTCTGCACACCTCATAGGTCAGCGGTTCTCAACCTGTGGGTCGCGACCGCTTTGGGGGTCGAACGACCCTTTCACAGGGGTAGCCTAAGACCATCAGAAAACACATATATAATTACATATTGTTTTGTGATTAATCACTATGCTTTAATTATGTTCAATTTGTAACAATGAAATTGGGGGTCACCACAATATGAGGAACTGTATTAAAGGGTCGCGGCATTAGGAAGGTTGAGAACCACTGTCATAGGTGATGATGTGCAACTAGCAATTTGAACCTACATTTGGATGTGGGTAAATGAAAGCAGTTGACATTCATCCTGGATAGAAATTATGAAAATGGAACATCCTTGGTTCATTGCAGAGGAAATCACTCTCAGCAAGAAAACAAACAAAAGAAACAAGAATCCCAAAGGAAATTGCTTCATGGGAGGAGAACAAGGAGATGGGAGAGTTGGAACAGAAAACTACTCATTTAATTATAATCTTATTTGTACTGTTTTTTAAATTGAATTTAAAGTGTATTGTTTGAAAATCATGTGGACAATAAAGCCAAAACATAAAATATCCAGGAAGAACAATGTGTGTTCACTTAGTTCCAGTTAAACATTTGAAAAATGTTTTAGTCTGTCCTGTGTTGTTGTTTTTTCATAATATAACTTAAGTGTATTTTTCCTAAGTAAATCTTTATACATGAAAGTCAATAGTTCAGCTTTTAGTCTTATTATATTTATATAATGACAAATAAAAGATTCTTTCTTCTTCCTGGCTCATCATATATTAAAAATCAATTTGAGTTCTTAATTATTATTATTTAATTGAAATATAAAATTAATAAATACATAGACATGTCAATAAAAATTTCTAAATATGTCTATACAACAATTAACCAAAAAGAAAGGAAATTGGATTCTGAAATCAGTAAGACTGTAAAAACTTCATCCAGATCTCAGGACTTGGACCTCATTGTGTTCCTAGCCCTTCTATGACACATTCGGAAACCCCTCTATAAAATGGTTCACTTCCTCTTCCACAAAAAAAAGGGGGAACTGTTCATATTTTACACATAACTTTTACAAAAAGTTTCTTGGGATTGGTTAGAGATTAAGATCTTCAATGCATGTGAAAATCTTTTATTGGTTGATAAGAAAGAGTGAAGTAAAGAAAGAGGTATTATTAACGTATGTGATCAGGACTTGGAGTCACTTTACCCTTGCAAATTCTGAAAGCAATCAAACAGGAATCACATATTTGACCAAAGACGTAAAATCTTCTTACAGAACTCAGGAGCATCAAGAGAAAACACAAATGTGTGCCTCTCTGGAGCTGGAAGATACACCTGAGGAAACTTATATGGCACTTTCAACTGTACATTAACACATGTAGAAGTGTAGGTATCCAGGAAGAACTACCAGAAACATGAGATGAAGATGGGAGTTCCCAATATAGTACTCCACACAAAGGTCTGAGATGATGTTGGTGTATATTATTTAATGTAAATTGTTTTATTTAAATTTCTGCAGAGAAAATTTACCAGGATGTATACATGACAATATTGACCATATGCACTAAATCAAAATATTTATAAAATTATTTACCTGAGGTTTTATAATTTTATTTATACAATGCATGCATTTCATCAATTTTAAAACACATGTTTTCAAATATATGAAAATTGCATGATAAGATGTAATATGAAAAATTTTACAGATCTCAGAAATAGATAATTAGTATTGATGCAAGAGGTAGACTTACCATTCTTAGTAATACTGGACCTTCATTTCCCACCCTTCTGCCCTAAGCAACACCTAAATATGCTGTTTTTTACAGATATAATAATTTTCATCTGTGCAGTGTTCTTGCAAAACAGTATTGGGTGAGTTATACATCATGCAGTTTCCTGCATTTACACGTTCAGTGAATGCAAATCTGTAATGAAAAATAAAATGTTATATAGAAAAAGAAAATGAAAATGTCCTATCTGAAATAAAAGATATATTTGCTAATTAGGAAGACAAATCAGAACATAAAAGTGTCGTTGTATGATGCTACAAATATCATGTTTGTGAGTGGAAGCAATATTCCAAGATTACAATATACAGAAAATAAACTCAGATTATATAAAACATGGGAGGAAGCTGAAAATATTGGGTCCCACCAGAAAAAAAAAAAAAAGAATGGCTATCCTGCTTTTCTTGGACAGTTTATGTGTGAGAGGGCAGCTTTTTATCTCTTATGTTGTTGCTAATTATCTGCTCATACAAGTTCTGGTACAAAGGTAAAAAGAAAAGTCAAAACCTATTTTATGGTCCACAGTCCAGTAACTTCATGTCACTTGAACATTTACTTGGATGTTCTAGATAAGGGTAAAACTGTTGTTCTCTTGTACCTAATCTCTTTTCTGTATTCTCATGCTCCAAAAAGGTTTATCCTAGCTACAGTGTTCCTGGAATTTATATTCTCTGAGTACTAAGGATAAACCCATAAAGAACAGGAAAGGCTTGACCATCAGAAACTTACAGATCTTTGGAGAAAGCAGAGCCATCCTCCCACAACCAGGCATGATGTTGGTCAGAGTAAGAGATTCCAATCCAGTAAAAACGTCTACTGTATTGTATAAACTGCTGCTTTGAAACAGAGACAAATATATTAATCTAATTTGACTCTACTCTACAAATAAAGTACTTTCAAGAAAGTTAGTGTCCAGAATCATATCCAGACTCTAAATCAATCAAACTGAAATCATTTTAAAAGTCTAGAACAGGGAGAAAATGGCGGAGGTATAAACGGACGTGTCCTGTGCCCTGTCCTGGAGCAGATAAGGGTGAGCAGCTGAAACGGGTAACATACAGCCCGAATAGGCAGAGGATTTTCAGCTGAGAGACTGTCTGAAGCTGGGAAAGACCGAGAACCCCCAGAAACAAAAGGACGGTTGGAGACTGTGGCTGAAACCTCTCTCGGTGCGCCAGCTAAGCAGCGGAGACTGCGCCATCTTGGGTAGCTGTTGCCAGCGTCCAGAGATCAGCTTCTAACCTGGAAACAGGGGATCTCAAGCAGCGTGACTGTGTGAACTCAGATGAGCACTGCTTCTTCTCACGGAAAGGTTAGACTTCCCCTAAAGGTGCAGTTTGCAGTTCGGGTTGGAGGGAGGGCTGAGCTCGCAGGCGCGAGGCGAAATCTGCGCCCCACAGAGTCCGCGGCCATTGGGACCAGCGTGACCTGTGAGTGGGGAGGGGCCCCACAGGGCTGCTGGCAGAAGGGAATGCTAAAAATAAGCCCATAGCTGGACTGGATGTAAAAAAGCAGCCTTGGACTTTGCCAGTGTCCCGGCTGCTTGGTGCCAGGGGCGAGTGGGCGCGCGGAGACTGTGCACAGACTTGGAAGGTGGAGGCTTGCGAATTCACACAGAGTATCAGGCTCTTGTTACAGTTCCCCTTAGATCTGTGCATTTGATTATTAAACCCAGTGCATAGGATTCCCCAGTTGGGGTCATTCGCACAGCCTGTAGGGGAAAGTTCTTTTTGGGGAGCCTGGGAAACAGAGCGGGCAGTAACCATTAAAAGAACCAGCTCTGGGCAGTGGACTTTCCCAAATCAGTTTCAAGTACCATAGAGGGGAAAAAACCCTACTGATAGAGAGGACTTATAACCTTGGAGGTCAATCCAGACACACTGCCACCCAGAGGCAGAGCCACGAACTGTCTCTTCTGTGATCACAAATAAAGGTAGTCTGGTAAACAAATACAACCTGCCTTAAAATCAGGACTGTGGTTTAGGGCACGGAGGGACAGTGTATCGCAGGGAAATTCAACACTCTCCTGAATGCCTGGCAGGACTAAGGCGTGCCAAAAAGAAGAGTAGAAGATCTGAAGCACCTTCACTACTGCATATTTTTATATTTTTTTTTAATTCTTTTTTCACCATTTCATTAAGAACCTATTTTATTATTTTTTGTTTTTTTTTTCATCACTTGATTTTACCTTTTTAATTACCACATTTTTAACCAGTATTATTGCTATCATTTTACCATTTTTTCAAGTGTCATTTTATTTTTTATTTTTTTTATTTTTCTTTATTTTATTTTGGGATTAGTGTTCTACACTCTGTTTTCATCATTCCTTTAGCATCATTTCTCTCTATCTCACATTTACCCTTAAGCCAAAACTCTCTTCCTCACTTTTCCCCTTTTGCTGTCCTGTTTCTCTTACCCTATTCCTGCTTTAGATTTTCCCTATTCCTTCTTTTTACCCACTGTCTAAATTTCACCCTACTTATATATCTAATTTCCAATCCCTTGCTCTAAATCCATATACACCTCTCTCTTATCTTTCTTCACTATCCAATTTTTTTCTCTCTCTCTCTGTTGTTTTGCCAGTGTTTGCTTGATTTTGAGTATATTAGGTTTTTTTATGCTTGTTTGGGAGATTGTTTTGCTTTTCATTTTCATTTTTCTGTTTTGCTTATTTTTTCTATCTCTGGTTATTTTTGTGCTTCTGTTTTCCCTTGCCTTGCTTGATATTAGTGGTTGTTTGTAGTTTGCATTAATCTCCAGGGATCTGCTGCTGGAATTCATTGAGATTAGTTGCGGTTCTCTTAGAGTTTTCTCCCCATACAAATAGCCTCTTCCCCTCTTATTTTTTTTATTTTTTATTTTTTGTCTGTTTGTTTTTTTCTTCTCTCCCTTTTCCCAATCTCATTTCAGCACTCCTTTTTGTTTTTTCTTTTTCTCTTTAATCTTTTTCTCTTTTTTCTTCTTTATCCCCTAATTCTCTTCGCTACGGTGGTCACCTTTATTTGGAGTTATTAATATCGTGAATACATTTTGCTCAGTGCCTTGTACGTTGTGCCTTGTTGTGTTGTATTTTGTGCCTTTAAATCAATGCAGCAGAGAGAGAACTACATAACGAAACACCTGGAGAAGAGAGATCATGGTGAAACAAAGAACCAACCCACATATGAAAGAAAAACAGGCATCATCAGAAAAGGAAGTAAACGAAATGGAGGCAATGGAGGCAAGCAACCTGTCAGAGAAAGAATTCAGAGAAATGGCCATAAGGTGGATGAAAAAAATGGAAGACAAATTCAACAATATATGTAGGAACCAAGAGGAAATGAAGAAGAACCAAGAGGAAATGAAGAGAAACCAAGAAGAAATGAAAAATGACATCACTGCTATAAAGAACTCAATAGAAAGCATCAACAGTAGACTAGAAGAAGCAGAGGACTGCATCAGCGAGCTAGAAGACAAGGTAGAAAAAAATACCCAAACAGAACAGCTTCTAGAAAAAAAAATTAAAAAGCAGGAGGAGAGCCTAAGAGAACTCTGGGACAATGCTAAACGAAAAAACATCCGAATAATAGGGGTGCCAGATGGAGAGGAAACTGAGCAAGGAATAGAAAACTTGTTTGAAAAAATAGTAACAGAAAATTTCCCTGATATAGGGAAGAAAAAACTCACACAAATCCAAGAAGCTCACAGAGTCCCAAACAAAATGAACCCGAAAAGACCGACGCCAAGGCACATAATAATTAAATTGGAAAACACCAACGACAAAGCAAGAATCTTAAAAGCAGCCAGAGAGAGAAAGAAAGTTACCTACAAAGGATCCCCCATCAGAGTAGCGACCAATTTCTCAACAGAAACACATCAGGCAAGAAGGGAATGGAATGAAATATACAAAGTCATGCAAAGGAAGGGTCTGAATCCAAGAATACTGTACCCAGTGAGGCTATCAATCAAAATTGAGGGTCAAATCAGGAGCTTCACAGACAAAAACGGTCTACGGGAGTTTATTACAACCAAGCCAGCAATGCAAGAAATGCTAAAGGGTCTGCTGTAAACAGAAAAAATAGGAAACAAAGAAGGAACGCAGCGGTAAAGAACAAAAATGGCGACTAACAAGTTTCTATCAATAATAACTTTAAATGTAAAAGGATTAAATTCCCCAGTCAAAAGGCATAGGGTAAATGAGTGGATTAGAAAACATGACCCATATATCTGCTGTCTACAGGAAACCCACCTCAGAAAAAGAGACGCACACAGACTGATGGTGAAGGGATGGAAAAAGGTTTTTCAGGCCAATGGAAGTGAAAAAAAAGCCGGGGTAGCAATACTTATATCTGACAAATTAGATCTCAAACTGAAGGACATAAAAAGAGATAAAGAAGGCCACTTCATAATACTAAAGGGAGCAGTCCAACAAGAAGAAATAACTCTGGTAAATATATATGCACCCAATATAGGAGCACCCAAATACGTAAGAAATCTTCTGGAGAAGATCAAGGGAGAGATTGACAGCAATACAATCATAGTAGGGGACCTTAACACCCCATTATCACCACTGGACAAATCCTCTAAACAGAAACTCAGCAAAGAAACATCAATCCTAAATGACTCACTAGATCAGACGGTATTAATTGACATCTTCAGAACATTTCACCCCAAAGCCACAGAATATACATTCTCCTCAAGTGCACATTTGTCATCTTCAAAGATAGACCATATATTGGGTCACAGACAAAGTCTCTTCAAATTCAAGAAAATTGAAATCATATCAAGCATCTTCTCAAACCACAAAGGCATAAAACTGGAAATCAACTACAACAAAAACAATCCAGAAAAATCAAACACATGGAGACTAAATAGCATGCTATTAAACAACGACTGGGTTACCAGTGAGATCAAAGAAGAAATAAAAAACATCATGGCAACAAATGACAATGAAAACACAACAATCCAAAACCTATGGGACACAGCAAAAGCAGTCTTGAGAGGAAAGCTCTACAAGCCTACTGCAAGAAACAAGAAACAATGAGAATAAATGACCTAACTCTACAACTCAAAGAGTTAGAAAGAGAGCAACAAAAAAAGCCCACTGTAAACAGAAGGAAGGAAATAACAAAGATCAGAGTGGAGATAAATGACATAGAGACCAAAAAAAACAATACAAAAGATCAACAAAACCAAGAGCTGGTTCTTTGAAAGGATAAACAAGATTGATACACCTCTAGCCAGGCTCACCAAGAAACAAAGAGAGAGGACCCAAATACACAAAATCAGATATGAAAGAGGAGAAATAACAACAGACCCCATAGAAATACAAAGGATTGTTAGAAAATACTATGACCAACTCTACTCCAACACACTAGACAACCTGGAGGAAATGGACATATTCCTAGAAAAATACAACCTTCCAAAACTTAACCAGGAAGAATCTAAAAATCTCAATAGGCCAATAACTATGGAGGAAATCGAAGCAGTAATCAAAAAGCTTCCAGCAAACAAAAGCCCGGGGCCAGATGGCTTCACAGGGGAGTTTTACCAAACAATCAAGGAAGACCTAAAACCTATCCTCCTCAGACTATGTCAAAAGATCCAAGAGGGCTGAAACCAGTTCGGCTCAGTGGATAGAGCGTCGGCCTGCAGACTGAGGGGTCCCAGGTTCGATTCCGGTCAAGGGCATGTACCTGGGTTGCGGGCACATCCCCAGTGGGGGATGTGCAGGAGGCAGCTGATCGGTGTTTCTCTCTCATCGATGTTTCTCACTCTCTATCTCTCTCCCTTCCTCTCTGTAAAAAATCAATAAAATATATTTAAAAAAAAAAAAAAAGATCCAAGAAGAAGGAACACTTCCCAGCTCATTCTATGAAGCCAACATCACCCTAATCCCAAAACCAGATAAAGACAATACAATGAAAGAGAATTATACGCCAATATCCCTCATGAACATAGATGCCAAAATCCTCAACAAAATCCTAGCAAATCGGATCCAGCAGTACATCAAAAAGATTATACACCATGACCAAGTAGGATTTATCCCAGGGATGCAAGGATGGTACAATATCCGCAAATCAATAAATGTGATACATCACATAAACAAATTGAGAGAAAAAAACCACATAGTCATATCAATTGATGCGGAAAAAGCATTTGACAAAATCCAACACCCTTTCTTGATAAAAACTCTCAGCAAGATAGGAATTGAGGGATCATACCTCAACATAATAAAAGCCATATATGACAAACCCACAGCCAACATCATACTCAATGGGCAAAAACTAAAACCATTCCCCCTAAAAACAGGAACAAGACAGGGATGCCCCCTCTCACCACTCCTGTTCAACATAGTACTGGAAGTACTAGCCATTGCAATCAGACAAGAAGAAGAAATAAAAGGCATCCAGATTGGAAAAGAAGAAGTAAAACTGTCCTTATTTGCAGATGACATGATACTGTACATACAGAACCCTAAAGACTCCATCAAAAAATTATTAGACTTAATAAATGAATTCGGCAATGTAGCAGGATACAAAATTAATGCTAAGAAATCCATGGCATTTCTTTACACCAATAGTGAACTTACAGAAAGTGAAACTATAGAAGCAATCCCATTTACCATTGCACAAAAAAAATTAAAATACCTAGGAATAAACTTAACTAAGGAGGTAAAAGACTTATATGCCAAAAACTACAGGACACTGAAAAAAGAGATAGAGGAAGACATAAACAGATGGAAGAATATACCGTGTTCATGGATTGGTAAAATCAACATCATCAAAATGTCCATACTACCCAAAGCAATTTATAGATTCAATGCAATCCCCATTAAATTACCAACAGCATATTTCACAAATCTAGAACAAACGTTCCAAAAATTCATCTGGAATAAAAAAAGACCCCGAATAGCTGCAGTGATCCTGAGAAAGAACAAAGTAGGTGGGATCTCAATACCAGATATCAAACTGTATTACAAAGCCACTGTTCTTAAAACAGCTTGGTACTGGCACAAGAACAGACATATAGATCAATGGAATAGAATAGGGACCCCAGAAATCGACCCAAACCACTATGCCCAATTAATATTCGACAAAGGAGGCAAGAGCATACAATGGAGTCAAGACAGTCTCTTCAATAAATGGTGTTGGGAAAATTGGACAGATACATGCAAAAAGATGAAACTAGACCACCAACTCACACCATACACAAAAATAAACTCAAAATGGATAAAAGACTTAAACATAAGACAGGAAACCATAAAAATACTAAAGGAATCCACAGGCAGCGAAATCGCAAACATATGCCCAAGGAATTTCTTCTCTGATAATGCTCCTAGGGCAATGGAAACTAAAGAGAAAATAAACAAATGGGACTACATCAAAATAAAAAGCTTTTGCACAGCAAAGGAAACCATCAACAAAACAACAAGAAGACCCACACATGGGAGAACATATTTGCCAATGATACCACCGATAAGGGTTTAATTTCCAACATTTACAGGGATCTCATGAAACTTAACAAAAGGAAGATAAACAATCCAATAAAAAAATGGGCAACGGACCTAGATAGACACTTTTTGAAAGAGGACATACAGAAGGCCGAAAGACATATGAAAACATGCTCAAAGTCACTAATTATACGAGAGATGCAAATCAAAACGACAATGCGTTATCATCTCACACCTGTCAGAATGGCTATCATCAACAAATCAACAAACAACAAGTGTTGGAGAGGATGTGGAGAAAAAGGAACTCTTCTGCACTGCTGGTGGGAATGCAGACTGGTGCAGCCACTGTGGAGAACAGTATGGAGCTACCTCAAAAAACTAAAAATGGAACTCTCATTTGACCCAGTGATCCCACTACTAGGAATATATCCCAAGAAACCAGAAAAGCCAATCAGAAAGGATATATGCACTCCTATGTTCATAGCAGCACAATTCACCATAGCTAAGATTTGGAAACAGCCTAAGTGCCCATCAGCAGATGAATGGATTAGAAAACTGTGGTACATCTACACAATGGAATACTATGCTGCGGTAAAAAAAAAAAAAAAAAGGAACTCTTGCCTTTTGCAACAGCATGGATGGAACTGGAGAGCGTTATGCTAAGTGAAATAAGCCAGTCAGAGAAAGATAAATACCACATGATCTCACTCATTTGTGGATTATGGAGAACATAGACTGATGAAAAGGGACAGACCCAAAGACTGAGAAACAGCGATCGGGCTATCAATCCCCAGAAGGAAAGTAGGGGAGGGCGGGGGTAAGGGGAAGAGATCAACCGAAGGACTTGTATACATGTATATAAGCCAAACCAATGGACATGGACAACAGGGGGATGGGAGCATGAGTGTGCGGGGCGGGGGTGGGGTGGGGGAGGGGGAGGTTGGGGGTTAAAGGGGGGGATGAGGACACATTTGTAATACCTTAACTAATAATAATAAAAAAAAGTCTAGAACAGTAAGTATGGTCATGTCTCATAATGTTCTCGAATATGAGGTCCATTCATTCACGGAGAAAGAAAATATCACAAATCTCAATTCTTGAATGAATGGAAAACTTTATAAAGGGGTTAGATTTTCATGGAACAGTTCCTTCACAAACGATCAACCATAAAATTTGATCCCAAGTCAAAAGCATCTTGAGGAATAATTTGTCAGATAGAACCTTTTCGTCCTATACTCCCCACAAGTTCCTCATGCAACTGAAGAACTATTTCACTTGTCTTAAGAGTTGGATAACTATTATAATCATGCTCTCATATTCATTCCTTCTTATATCCCAGAATAATCGCAACGGCTATATAATTACAAAAATTATATGTTCAATTAAAACTAAAAATTGAAAACTTGCTTAATTGGTTCTTTGAATAAAAATGACCATTTCTTCTTTGATTTCTCTCTAAAATGCTTCTTGTACTTTATCTGGCATCTATCTTAATTTTTATTCCTATAATATAAATTTTTGAGAAATTTTGTGTTGGTTTTATAATGATTGTTCTAAGGAATAAAAAATTAATAAGTCATTATTAGGTCAAATATAACCATCCATTTACTATCTGAGAAGGCTTGAATCAAAGTAATCAGCTTATTTAGATAATATGTTATCCTAAGCCAAAGACAATATAAAAAAACAAAATGAAACACATGCCAGATCGTCTTTGTTTTTCAACTGAAGTAGACTGGAATTCTGAGAAGCACAGAAATTTCTACTTTCTGCCCAAGTTTTTTTTTCATTGGAAATGAAGTAACATTTGCATTGGTACCCAATCCACTTTTCTTGGCAAAAATAGCCGCCAGAGCCTAAAAGAAAAAAATAAAACTTGACTGATGACATTGGAGATTCAATTTTTTTAAGCACTATTTACTCATTCAAAAATCATTTTATTTTTTTCTACAAATATTTTTGAGAGACTACTTTAGAGGATAGTCATGTGAATGAATCATGGGCATTATATTCTAGAGATAGCATCAGAATTACCAATCTGTTATTAATCATATTTAATGCTAGTTTGGGTAAATATACATAAGAAATTCAGTATGTTAAAATATCCTATAGTAGAGTGTAGGAAGTGACCCCAAAGTTGAGCTCTGCTGTCTAGATAGGATTAATTAGATGGAAGAGATATTTATGGGAGAAAGACATTTTAACATATTTCCTGAGTCAGAAATAAATATGGTACATTGGGAGAATTATAATATATATTTTAGATATTTTATCTTCAAATTGAAGATAAATAAAGCAATTAGTTTGAAGACCAATCATACAGTTAACTGGTAATAGTGCCTTGAACATTTTATCCTCAGCGATAGGTGTAATGATACATGGTATGTACTCAAATCTTTGCCAAGTGAATGGTGCTCAAATTATAGAGTAGAATGGTCATTACATGGGGAGGGGATGGGGGTAAATGGAGAGAAGTTGGAAATAAACTTCCAGTTAGAAGGTCAGTGTTCTGAGGGTCCACGGAATAACATTGGGATTATTTAACAATACTGTATTGTACACTTGTAAGTTGCTAAAGGGTAGATGTTAAATGTCCTCAGGACAAAAAGGAAATGCAATTATGTGATATGATGGAGGTATTAGCTAGAGCTAGAGTCATCATCATATTATAATATATAAGTGTATCAATATCAACACATTGTATATTTTAAACTTATACTAGTACAATGTTATATATCAATTATATCGCAATAAAGCTGGAAAATACCTCAAGAAGAAAAAGATAAATAAAGTACTATTTGATCATAGAAGATGATGAGACAACTTGGAGAGAATTTGGAAAAATGCATTAAAAAAATTGGACTCAGAGTTGGCTTACAATGTAAAAGTAGGTTCAGATTTATAGAAATCTCTGCACTATATTCTGAGTCATGTAAGAATTGAAGCAAAGCTAAAGGGATATATAAATATAAGTTATGAGCAAACACTGGTAGATAATAAGGATTAGCTGTAATATGTACTATAATTTTTTTTGATTTGTTATTTAAATATTAGCACTCATACAGGAAAACCATGTCATTTCAGGCCAATATTTTCCTTATTACTTAAATATATAAATGATGCACATTCAATGTACTAATAATTTAATAATTCTTACATTAGAGAACAAAGAAATGAGACTATTCTACAATTAGCAGATAAACTTCTATTTTACTAAGTGTAATATTCCATCACACTTCTGTGCGAGAAAAACAAGAAACTATTTCATGCTCTATCAAAACTAATATTTTCCAAATTATGGAACCTACCTTTCTGAGGTTCCATGGTGGTGGGTCCTGGAGATGGTGTTGGCTGAATACTTTGTTTAGTAAGTGCTGTGAGAAATAATTAGAAATTTACTTAATTAGGTACAGGTTTGTAAAATAGAACAATATCATACATTAGTAAAATGAAATATTTCTTATTGAATGGCTTCATTCCAGTCTTGGTCTTTATATCTACTTGCCTAGAAAAGCTTACCATTTTTCAACACAATTCCCAAAGTAGCCATCAGCACAAGGCACGTTACTCCTAAGACCCCAGAAATCAACCTCCACGGAGTGCTCTGAAAAGCTGTAGAGAAAGGGAGGTAGAGTGATGAGTTTAATAACAAACACAGAAGCTAAAGTGCTTATATGCAGAAACTAGAGAGGGAATCCAAAAATTTATTCGATTTGAAAACCCAACTATCTTGCCAATGAAACATTGAAAAATGAAGACATCCCATTGAGAATTCCACCCAAAAGTAAATAATTTACATGATGTACTTTATTCTTTAGGAAGGTTACCCATATCTTTTCTTCTTTACCAGCTCTTTCTCAGAAAGTGGATTCAACATTTATTTTTAATTTGGCGAAGAAGCCCAGAGATCTGGAGTAAGAAGAAATGAACAGGCACCCAGCTCTGTTTTATGGGCTTACAAAACAAACATTAACTTAAATTTTCTCAACAAAAAATCACAAGATAGTAGTATGATTCCCATTAGGTAGATGAGAAAATTTAGAACTTATTATTAATATTATTTTCTCAAGATATCAAAACTAGCAAGTACCCAAGTCAGAAATCAAACGAAAGTTTGTCTAGGACCATAATCTTTATTTTATATATTCTGTCATTGTCACAACATACTTGGGAGCGTGTCCTTTTGAGACTACTCTGAGAAAGGTCAGGTGCTCCTAGATTTGTAGAGATTTGACAGGGAAGAAAAGACATTGGAGTATCTGGATCAAAGCATGTTCAATACATGGGGAGCTGGGTTTATATCACATTGGATTATGATGCATAAGCAACAATTTTTTACAAGAACATTATATTACCTAATACCTCATATTCCTTGCTTATAACCATTTTCCCTACAACAATTCAACATTAGGAGATTCTGCATTAACATCAGCACACTCCTAAAATGTTGTCATTAACAACAGACCAATGTGTCAAACTGTCAATCTGGTTGGTGTTTGGACTTCACAACCCAAATGGCAAAGTTTTAAAACAGCACTTGTAAGCACTGTATCTTAAATTTTTGGCATTCTCTATTTTACTAGAAAATGTTGCTCATAATTTAACCAGGAAAATTCAGTTCTCATTTAGAATTTAGAGCTTTCCCTGCCATTAGTCACTTTTTAAACCTGTTGGGAAAGCTTCACAAAATCATTTCCAAGTTACAGAATGAAGAGTCAGAGAAGTAAAATTAAATGGGAAAGGCTGATACACGGGAAGCCTAACATTTTCCATATTATTTTCTTACAGCATGCCCTGAAATGAGCTATACCCACAAGACATGGTTTCCATTTATATTTACTTCTAAATTTTTCATTCAGGCTGACATACCTGCCATGAGAAATGTTGTTCCAGTGTGGACACAGATAAGTCACGATGTTTGTTTGTTTAAGAAGAACGGTGTTGAATCACAGAATTGAGCTGAAGGCTCAGAACCTGAAAGTTGTGTATGAAGAAATTCAAAAGGAAAAGGAAAAGAAAAAAAATTGTGTATTTTAGTGATATTCTTGGTGTTCCGGAAACCACAATACAGGAAATTGTCACTACACTTGTGTAATGCAAATTCTCTGACAATCAGAAGGAAAAAAAAGTAAAAGATTTTTTTAACGTTTGAACAGGGATCATCTTTTAAAAATATGGGGAAAATGGGAAAAAAAGATGGGCAAACCAAAGGAAAATTTGCTTAGTATAATAAAGTGCCACAAGAATTTTCTCCTTTAAAAAATACCACATGATCTCACTCATTTATGGATAATAGAGACCATTATAAACTTTTGAACAATAATAGATACAGAGGCAGAGCTGCCTCAAACAGATTGTCAAACTGCAGCGGGAAGGCCGGGGAGGGTTGGGGGGCAGGAGGGAGGGGGGTAAGAGATCAACCAAAGGACTTGTATGCATGTATATAAGCATAACCAATGGACATAACACACTGGGGGATAGGGGAGGCTAGGGGACTGTCTAGGGCGGGGGGGGGGGGGGAGAAATGGACACATATGTAATACCCTTTGTATTACTTTAAGCAATAAAAAAAAAAAAGAATTTTCTCCTTTAAATAATGATAAACATTTATAATTTACCTGTGTTGAACACAGATTCAATTACTTGGCATATATTAGCACATTTGTTTCTGAATATTGCTTAATAATAAAGATACATAAACATACTTATTTTTCTGATGAGAAAATGAAGGCAGAACTAAAGACATGACCAAGGTCATTAAGTTTGACTATCTTTCTCCAGAGCACACATGCAATGTATTTCAAGTCAGACCTATCCCTCTGTGTCTATGTTTTGAGGTTTTGATTTCTTTTCTTTAGCACAGAGTGGTTGCTATTTCCATCTCTCATTGTGTGCTTCTGATCCCTGCCTCATTAACCCACGTATGGAAGGTGAAGGTCAAAAAGGTAGAACCAGAGTGATTTTCCATTACTGTTCCATCCATGCTCGCGTGCGCGCGTGCACGCACACACACACACACACACACACACACACACACCTATGTTCTGCAACAGCCTCTGTTGGTCTATGCCCACCCTTCAGTGGCTCATTCAGGTGAGCCCCAAAGCTTTTTTCAACATTTAACTCTCCATTGTTCAGTTCCATTCAAGTTCTTTGAACTGCAGCTGCTTTATTACCCTTATTTGTACTGTATTTAAGTATTATATTTTTACTGGGTTCTCTCACTCAGATAGCATACTGATAGCTCAGTTTACAAGTTTTTCTCTTCAGAAGAATAACGTTATTAGTGGGAAATTCAAATGTGGGACAAATGGGTGAATAAAAATCTGAAGAGTAGAGACTTTTGAGAGTGGGTGGGTGGGTGGGTGGCTGAGAAGAGATCAGCCAAACATGGACACAGATAATAGTGTGGTAAAGGCCTGGGGAGGAGGGTGGGGGCAGGCTAAAAAGGATCAATCAGGGTCCTATATAATAAAAGGCTAATATGCAAATCGACTGAACTGCTGAATGACCAGTCACTATGATGCACACTGACCACCAGGGGCAGATGCCCAATGCAGAAGCTGACCTCTGGTCAGTGCACTCCCACAGGGGGAGTGCTGCTCAGCCAGAAGCTGGGCTCACGGCTGGCAAGGGCAGTGGCGAATGCAGTGGCGGTGGCAGGAGCCTCTCCTGGCTCTGTGGCAGCGCTAAAAATGTCTGACTGACAGCTTAGGCCTGCCAAAGTCAGCAGTCGGACATCCCCCCAAGAGGTCCCAGACTGCAAGAGCATGCAGGCTGGGCTGAGGGACCCCCTCCAAGTGCACAAATTCTGTACACCAGTCCTCTAGTATATAATAATTACAACAATTAAGATTTTTTAAAAAATAATAGAGACCTTGCTCTGTAATTAAATATCTAGAAATGCAATCTAATATTTACCATCAAATGAAGCAGACTCTCATATAAGTTTCTTGTTGTTTATAATTTTTATTTCAAGCATTATAGTAGTAGCATATATGAAACTCATTGTAAGAGATGGGCTACTCAACAACCAAAAAACAAACAAAACAAAAAACAAGGAATGTGATTTTAGTTTCCATGAGTTAAGTTTTCCATCTGTTTAATTTGCATTGTGTGCATAAAGATGCTGTCACTGAACCATGAAATTGCTAAAATTTTAATTCTTGCCTGAGGTTGTAAGCATGAAAATTCTTCATCCACATTTTATGCAAATTCAAGCTAAGAAAGGTAATTTAAAAGTGATCCTTTGTCTACTTGAAGTCTATTCAATTTTACTTTTAATTAAATTTATTGGAGTGACATTGGTAAATAAAATTATGTAGATTTCAAGAGTAAAATCCTATGATACAGAATCTGTATATCATATGGTGTTTATCACCCCAAGTTAAAATTCCTCTGATCCCCTTTACTACCTCCTCAAACCCTTTCCCTCTGGTAACCACAACACTGTTATTTATGTCTATGAATTTTAGTTTGCGTTTTTCGTTTTTTCACTTGTTACTTTCAGTTTTATGTTCCACATAAGGGTGAAATCCTTTGTTTCTTGACTTTTTCTATCTGACTAATTTCACTTAACATGTTATTCTCAAGATCCATCCATGTTGTCACAAATGGTAGTATTTTATCTTTCTTATGACTGATTTTAGTGCTTGAAATATACAATTACATGTAAAATAAGAATATTTCTCCAAGCCCTAGCCTTTTTAGCTCAGTGGATAGAGCGTTGGCCTGCAGACCAAAGGGTCCTAGGTTCAATTCTGGTCAAGGACATGTACCTCGGTTGCAGGCTCCCCCCTGGCCTGGGCCCTGGTCAGGGTGCATGCAGGAGGCAACAAATTGATGCGTTTCTCTCACATTGATATTTCTCTCTTCCACTCTCTCTAAAAATAAATGGAAAAATATCTTCAGAAGGGATTTAAAAAAATATCTCTCTCCAAGTCTTTTTAATATATCTGTATAACATTATCATAAAAGTGAGTTTTGTATGACACATGATGTTTAGAAAAAGTGTTTTCTGGATTAATCAGGAGGGAAAAGGACAAATGAGTGACTCCTTTACTGAGATTTATAAGCAAAAATACCCAAGAAAAAGTAAAAAGTGATGAATTAAAGTAACAAGGGTATAGATTATGTTTCTTTGGGGAAAATCTGGAAGCAATCACTGTGTGAACATGGTTTCAAAGCAAAAGGTTCAAATTATATTTAATAAAATACAATAAAATCAGAAATTTTAAAAATATGTTTTATTTATATTTCAAGTAGGGACACAAATTTAATCTGTAACAATAAAAGTGGTTTAAAATGTATTTGTGTAATGTTTGTTACAATAAGATAAACACAATACATTTAAACATACTTTCTCCTATTAACCTCTTTTTTCACTTTTTGTTTGGAAATGAATGAAGATTGACAGAAAGTTACAGAAATAATGCAGCAGAGAGAGCTACCTTGTACCTTTCACTTAGTCTTCTCCAATCATGATATCTTACTTAGAGTATGTTATCAAACCCAAGACATTGACATTAATTCACAGGCTTTATTCAGATTTTACCATTTTTATAAGCACCCATTTGCTTTTAAATTATTGTAACCACTGCCACATGAACTCTGTTTTTATATTCTAGAAAATAATTACCAACAATTATTTTGTTACTCAGAAGTATGGTTGTTAAGGAAAAGGCAAGATATATAACGAAACTTTTTCTGTGTTTACCAACTTTCATTTTATTGAGTTGGTTCCATAGAGGAGAATTTTAACCTTTATTGAGTACATCATTACATGCCTATTGTAGTGCTTAATGTAAATACCTTATTAAGTACATGAGCACACATTAAGTGTATCAGTACATTTAATCCTAGTGAAGTATTTTGGCATTTCACTATTTTACTGACAAAGAAATGTATTAATGCACAGAAATTCTCTTATGTGCAATACTTTAATTTGCAGATGACAAAGGTATACCTAGCAACAGGAAATCCTTACATGTCTCCCACATCTGAATATCCTTGTCCTAGAAACAAAAATCCTGACATTCTCTTAAATTGAGTAACCAGTGTCTTATTGGTCATTCAGTTCCACGGATGGGCCTTTTCTTGATTAGGATTTTTCTTTATGGCTCTCTAAGGAATAGAGAGAATCACCTTGCAGCTCTAGTCAAGTAAGGAAATATTTGCTATTGCTAGGTGCTTATTTTCATTTCCTTTGCAACACATTATCTTAATTGATCTCTGACATGTTACCCAATATCTTTGCAACTATAATATGGGATTTAGATACTGCATTGTTTGTTTTACAAGTATAGTAGCATTTCACAGTTGCAATTTTAACTGACATTTACAAATTCACGCATGGATATTGACCAGAGACATCACACAAAAAGCATGAAATGTACCAAGAGAACTGCTTTCCATAAAAAAAAAAAAAAAAAAAAAAGCAGACAAACAAGAAATAAAACAAAAGCAGCACCAATTCTGACTGCAGTTCAAGAACGGTTTAATCAGAATCAAATGTGAAAGTTTTGGATGAATTTAGATCTTTCTCAGCACTTGACTCTGCCTAATAGCTACTTTATAAAATGAAATGTCTACACAGAAAAAGAAGCATCGAATAAGGGTGATCTAATTGGTGATGCACATTTTGGAAAAAGCACTGGCATTCTCAGATTGTTTAGGGCAGAGATTTTCAACCTTTTTCATCTCGTGGCACACACAAACTAATTACTAAAATTCTGTGGCACGCCAAAAAATATATTTTTTGGCAATCTGACAAAAAAAATAGGTATCATTTTGATTCATTCACATCAGAAAACTGTTGTGTTGACTGTTGTCATTTTTTTCATTTGACAATCTAAGGGAAAAGAGGTCAGTGCACCCTAATAGTCAGGTATTGCACGTTTTTAAAAGTCTTGTGGCACACAGGTTGAACATCACTGGTTTCGGGTAAGGAGAAGTTTATAAAACCAGAGTGAAGAAAACGTACAATTTGTTTCAAAATTTCTTAATTTTGGCCCTAGAGCTCATCTCCTATATAATAAGTCCCAGCATGTGAGACTTAGGTGTAGACATCTCACCTCGGAGCTGCAAAGAGCTGGCTGGCTGCAGCTGCGGCTTGTCAATCCTCATGTAGCTGGAAACAGTGTCTCTGTGGTGAGCTGTTGGGTAGGCCGTTGGGTTCTCACTCTCAAACTGTGACAACTTGGTCACTCCTTGAACTTTAAAGCTCAACTATTTTTACTAAATATCCTTAAAGTGGCACTGAGCCCCTTTCTTGGCCTGTATGCAAAAATAGCTACAGTGTAAAGCTCAAGGGTCAGCATCTGTTGATGAAATTTGGGCATAAAGAAGAAGAAACAAGGGAAGTAAAAGGATTCTGTAGGAAGAGTAAGTCGCATCAGTACCCAAGAAGCAGGTTATTCAGATCAGTAAAAATCTTTCAGTCCAGAAAACTCACCTTTTAATTTTTGTACGTAACTCTTATCTGGTGAGTGTCAATCAAATTCACACATTACCAAGTTCCCGCATCCTGAAATAAATCTGAGAAAAAAAGAATCATAAAGGATTATTGTTCAAATTTTATGTTTTCTCATTATTTAGTAGAAAAGTAGTCTATAATTTATTATACTCCATCATTATGTATGAAACAGGAAGACAATTTTGGGGGGATTACTATATACCAGTGTTGTGTTGGATATTTTAATCTTCATAACCTATGTTATTAATACTATTGTTTCTTAAATTTCATAGTTGAAGACACAGAATATTATAGAGGAAATGTGATTAAAGTTAAGTAGCTAGCAGTGGCTGAGCTGAGCATCACTAAGGTTGTCTACCTCTATAGAAAAATATTTAGGGATATGTTTAACATAATTCTAAGGGAATATATCATTTTGCCTCCTTTATCTTGGTAATTTTTAGTACTTGTTTATTTATATACTAGAGACCCAGTGCACAAAATTCATGCATGGGCCGGGGGTCCCTCAGCCCGGCCTACACCCTCTCCTGTCTAGCACCCCTTTGGGGATGTCCAACTGCCAGCAATCGGACATCCCTCTTGCAATCCATGACCGCTGGCTCCATAACCACAGATGGTTTATTAGATCAAGCATGTCAAACTCAAAGGCTAACATAGGCCAAATAAACAAGGTTTAAGTTTATGTGGGCTGCAAAAAAATAAAAGCTTCAATTTTCATAGAAATGTAGGTATATTTCGATAGAGACATGCTGAATACAAAAGGCTGAAATAAATGAGTAATTGCTAACATAAAATAATAGAACATTTTAATAAAAATTAATATTTTTCTTGAACATACACTTACCAGACACTGAATAGCTACAAATTAATAAGCGTGACAGAAATAAACCTATTTTTCTTGTTCTCCAAAAGCGAAATATTTCTTGTTGCACTCACCAAACAAGTCAGTCCAAGATTAATGACATGGCAATCAGCTGCTAAAATATTCTCTGCTAGTATTAGTGGAGAGAAATGGTGTGCCTGCATGTAAGGTGTGTAAGGGAAATGAATGCAACACAATTATAGTAATCAGTCATTAGTAAATGTTGTAGTTATTAGTAATTATGTATAAGAGGATATTGTAAAAATTAAGTTATGAAATTCTTATTAAAACGTTTCTTACGTACTGTTATATTGGCTGGGCCGCAAAAATTTTTATTGTGGGCTGCATGCAGCCCACCGGCTGTGAGTTTGACATGCTTGTATTAAATGTATATTATATGACAGTTACATATGTCCAGCAATATACCTATGTCAATGCATACACATTTGATTAGGTATTGCTGGATTGTCTTATGGAGGTAAAAACACAGATGTGGATAATTAAACCAAGTTGTCACCATAATGTTATATAAGAGTGGCTTTTTTACATCTTAGCAAGCTTTTAGTTATATGCTTTATTTTTGGTTTCCCTGTTTTCATGTCTCCTGGTTTCAATGAATTATACTTTAATTTTTAAATATCTATTTATAAACACTAATATCAATTTGTGAATTTTATGATGCTTTCAGATATAAAATAATTCATGTGAAAAAGATATTGACAGCAAGGTTGCTGATCCTTTTTAGAATTTATTTGGATTTCTTTGAAGTTAGATTTGAGAAGAGGGGGAGATTTTATCTTGCTACCTCCTTCTGCTGTTTGTGTGTTTATATGTGTGTGAGGGTGTGTGTGATGTGTGTGGTGGGAGAGGTGAGAAAACTTTGACCAGAGAGACGTAAGTGCAAAATAAACATTATAATTTTGCCATAGCAATGAAAAGATATTTACTATTCACTGTAAGTGAGCATTATTGTTAAGCAGGTAGGACAAGGATCTCAAGGTCTCAACAATTCTTACTAAATGCTATTTTGCAATGTTGAAATGTAGCATTGTATTTTACAGATCAGATATAAACAAGATGAACCCAAACTGGGATAAATGTAGCCAGCTGCAAACTTTCTATTGTAATGATGTTTGTAATTAGATTATTAAGATTTTTTCCCACTATTATGGTAACAAACATCAATACTGGCTTTGAAAGCATTTCAGACTAAAATTAATCTATTTAAGAAATGATTGCTGGTTACCTACTAAGTGCCAGACACAAAAAAAGAAGCAAAACCCCTGTTTTGTGGTGGTTTTATTCTATGACCAGAGCCCAGTATTAAGACCATGCATATGTACAAGAGTTTATCAGAAGGAGAGACATAAAAAAGGAGGATTTGAAAGACTGGGAAAGTATGATGTGTGATAAAATGTTAAATCTGATGGTGAAGCCTCACTGTGAGAAAGAGAACCGCATGCGGACGTGAAGGGTGACTGGCGGGGAGAGAAGCACCAAGTGCTCTGCGGCTCCCACGCTGAGGAGAAAGACTCATTTGGCTTCTTTTGAAACAGACCTCAAATGTTACTGAGAATTGTATATGCCAACCCTAGACGGGCTTTCTTACACTAAACCTGGCTAAACCAAGACCAAATGTGCCAGGAGCCAGTCCAAAGGTTGTTTCCCCAAGTATGGAGAACATGCCTGCTTTTAAAAAATAAAAAAGGGGGAATTTGCCGGGAGCCAGTCCAAAGGTTGTTTCCCCAAGTATGGATTTTCCCCTGAAGTTAGGGAGGGAATAAAACCTCTTAACTAAGTGCCAGGCGGGTAATTAATCACTTTAACTATGAACAATCATGCTTAAGCTACATAATCTTTACTCCCTGGAATGGAGATAAGAAACGCCCTAACCTTTGGAATAGAGATTGATAGGATCAACTGAACGCTGTCTCTGTGTCATTCCTTCTTCACCGACTCCATCCACACCTTTGGGGACCCCTGGACCTGCTGGGGTTGGACCCCGGCACGAATGGCCAAAACTCAGTCAAGAATCCTGAAATATTTTATTTTTATTAGAGATTGTAATGTAGATTTTTACTTTGTTTCCAAATCAGATGAACCTACTTTTAATGAGAACTATTCAACATCTGTACACTATTACAGATGTCCCCATTTCTCACTCTTTGCTTCCCTCCACCCAGTCCTCACTGTACTTTCCCTCTGGCCATTAAAACACTGTTGTCTGTGTCTACGAGTTACATATATATGTTTTTTGGCTAATTCACCTTCTTTCATCCAATCCTCCATCCACCGTCCCCTCTGACAACAAGTGCTGGCGAGGATGTGGAGAAAAGGGAGCCCTAGTGCACTGTTGGTGGGAAAGCAGACTGGTGCAACCACTGTAGAAAACAGTATGGAGTGTCCTCAAAATATTAAAAATGGAACTGCTTTTGGCCCAGCGATCCCACTTCTGGGAATATATCCTAAGAATCCCGAAACACAAATTCAAAAGAATAAATGCACCCCTGTGTTTACAGCTGTGTTATTAAAAATAATCAAGATCTGGAAATAGCCCAAGTGCCCATCAACAGATGAGTGGATAAAAAAATCTGTGGTACATTTACACAATGGAATTCTGCACGGCCATACAAAAGAAGGAACTCTTCCCTTTTACAACAGCATGGATGGACCTGAAGATGATTATGCAAAGTGAACTGACCCAGAGAAAGACAAATACCATATTAGTTCACTCATGTGAAATCTAATGAACAAAATAAACTGTACTCAAGCTTTTTGACAGGAAATACATCCAACAACTTTCTAGTAACAAAATATCACAAAAAAATAAAAATGAATCATTGTGGAGGAGGGGTGAACTACAATTGATATATTTCTAAACTTTTAAAAAAAATTTTGTGAGCTTATTTGAGCCAAACTGATGACAATTGCCAGAAAGCAAAATCTCAATGGATTGGGATACTGCTCTGGAGAATGGTGGGTTTGTACCTTGTTTTCATAAATTATCATCAAAGGGGAAGATGTAAGTGGGTTACATGAAATCCATTGGTGATAGATTAAGAAGGTGGGACAAAGCAAAGTGGGGAAACCTCTGGGATTGGATAAAAATGAAATGATGGACATATGCTTCTTTTACATAGATTGATAGAGGATAGTTAACATAGTTAACAGTTACGATGAACATGATAACAATAACAATGAAGGAATACCCAGACATTTCAAAGGTATCGTATCTTAGATGCAAAAAGACAATAGGCTCAGTAAAGTTCAAGGTTGATCTTTGTCAGGAAAAATACTGGCCTAGGACATGACTACCCACTATAAACTGATTTTAGTTAAATATTTAATTTCAGACCATCCTTTGTGGTTACTTTAGGTCTTTGAGCTTGTGTACAACCACCATGCAGGCCTTCCCTGAACTAGTCAGGTTAGCATGAGGCCTTTTTTTTTCCATCCATATATCCCCCTTTTGGTCATAAATCAATCCATAGGATGCATTGATGACCAAACTTTAGGTTGAATAATGGAGTCACACGGTACAAGGAAGGCTCATTCCTAGGAAGTCTCCGTGTCAGTATTTGTCTTGCTGAACAGGGTAGACCACTGGGGATAGGGCAAGACCATAGCCTTCGATGGGATTCAAGATCGATTTTTTTTTTTTTTTAAAAGGCGGGTAAATGGGAGGCAGTCAGAGCCTATATGTCCTTGTTAAAAAGTATTTTGGATCATTTCTAATTTTTGAGCCACCATGATCTGAGTCTTTTTGCTCTTTGTCTTAAGTTTTGTCTTTCTGAATCTAATATAACATTTACATATCAGGAACAAAAGTAACAATACT